TTCTAGCTGCCCATGGCTGAAAATGTATTTTTCTTTAATTTGGGGGAGAGGGCAGTGGCAAAGGACATATAGACACTTAAGGGAATGGTGCAAAGCCTAGAATTACTGTGTAGCCAACACCATCTCAAGGGAAGAATTGCACACTAATTTGTTTGTACAACATCAGTGTAAATTATAATGATCACTTACTACACTGTGCTTGCAGCTATAATGAGTGACACAAATATTTCCCTCAGGTGCATAGCCGAGACTTTAACTTCTTAGTGGATGTACAACTTCCCCAAGTTGTTGCTTGGGGGAGTAGTCCTCCAGATGTTGCTCAGCAGCTACCTAACCTAGAGGACTTTGGGTTCCTCACACCTGGCCTGACTGCTGGCCTGCTTCAGCAAGATGGCACCAAAATTACAGTCTGGCCAGTTTCTCTTTCGCTCAGAAGATGTGGAAAACACATGGCCCATGGATTAGTGTGCTCATAGCTGCTTGCGTGAGCACTGTATTATTCAGAAAACATTCCTGCTAGATTGTCTATAAAACCTCTTAGTTCCGGTATATTCAAGTTGGGCATTTAGTGCAAAGGAGACACAGCTGTAATTTTTTTATGACTCTAGAAAAGTGCATTTGTCCTTTACAGAACTAAAGGTCAAGTGACATAAGCTGATTACTTTATATGAGAATTAGTATGCATGGGCTGCTACTCCTCCAGTAAATACTTGCTACCTTTCTGTGACAGTGACAACAGCTTTGGGAATCATCAAGGACATAAATTTACAGCAAAGGGTGCATGTGCATGTGCATGCACGCATATGGTTGGGTGTTGGTTCATAAAAGATACTCTGCAGGCACAAAGGTTATTAACTTTCATGTGAGCCACCTCCAAAGGGTTTATTCCTCGGTTAATACCATTGCTTTTTTACAGAATCCAATGAAGCAAAGAGGCCACTTGCAGAAACATGGTTAAATGGACATATTTGCCTCTGGGCTGAAGCCCTTTTGAGCTTCTTGCTGCTACAGATATGGCTCCTTGTTACGAGATTAAACCTGCTAAAGGACACCTCTTCTTGTCAAAACCAAACTTTGATGTTTTACAAAAAAAGCATCAAGAGATCTTTTCTTTTTCTTCATCTTTCTCTTGGTGCCAGATTTGCTAAAACCTCAATAAAACTGAGGTTCTTTTTAAAGAGTTAATAAAACTCTGAAGAACACACTGGCCCATGGGGGGCGGGGGGGCAACCCATAAGCTTGCAAAAAAAAAAAATTTTTTTAAGACCCATTCTAAGTACCCCTCATTCAGCGCTGTCATAACTTCGAACAGTTGCTGAACAAGTGGACGTTAAACAAGGACTACCTGTAATCTCATAATCATAGGAGCAATTAAAATCACTGTCAACTGCAACTATGAGTTTTGATCACCATTGGGTATATAATAGGCATTTTAACAACAAATGTGATGCAGTTGCAACTCCATATCTGAGCACAAGCAAGTGCAGCTTTTGTACAGAGAACAAATTTCTCTGTCCTAATGGCAAGCGCCCCAATTCATGCTAGAGTAAAGAGTCATCTATGAGGAGCATGTGGGAGATTAAAGAAATGCAGGTAGTCTTCATTTAGCAACCAGAATTGGGACCAGCAACTTGGTTGTTAAGCAAAGCAATCACTAAGTGAAACCACAACTGTGCTTTCCTTTCCCTTATTTCAGCTTTCCTTTGCTTTACAGACCTGCGAAGGTTGTAAATGAGGGCATTGGTCATAAAGTTACTTTTTAATCACCATCATAACTGCAAACAGTCACTGACCAAGGCAGTCACTAAACAAGGACTACCTGTATCTAAATCTAAGTACCCTAAAAGACTAAACTGAAATTCAAAACAAACTTAATAGGTGAAGGAAATGGACTGAATGTAACAGAATAAAATTAACAGAGGTAAGTACACAAGTTTTTCACCTGATTGTAAATTGTAAATTGTTTACAGTCATTGTAAACTGAATATGAGTTAACAGTGAAATGTGGTTGTAAAGGTCTTATGACCAGGGACTAGAAGCTAATTATTCTGATGAGAGAATGAAGAAATTGGGAATATTTAACTTGAGAAGACTGAGAAAAGAGTGATAGCATTCTTTAATAACTTGAAAAGATGTCACCCAGAGGGAGATCAAGATTTGTTCTCTGTCATTCCAAAATAGAATGGAATAATGGGTTTATGTTACAAAAGGGAAATCCCACTGAATGTCAGAACAATACTGCCTGTCAATCAGAGCAGTTTAAGCACTGAGTCAGTGACCCTGAGAGAGTCCTTGTGGGGAGCTGTCAGCCCTTCAAGGTAGGCCAGGGCAGGAGGCCACAAGTAATTCTGCTTTACTGATACAGTCTATGGAAACGCTGGCAGCATTTTCCTTCCCGCCCTCCCTCTTACACTCAAGAGAGCGAAAGCAGAGCCACTTTGGGCTTCTTTCTAACGTTTTCTTCCTGTCTTGGACTCACAGTTTCTCCAAGATCGCCCCTGTCATCCTCCATAGCAGGGCACTTCCCTTCCCTGAATGTGTTCCAGTGGTCATCCCAGGCAGCTGCAGGGGTGACTGGGAGACTTTACTCGGACTGCTGCACAGAGCAAGCAGCAGCATTCAATTCTGTGACTCTACATAATCCCCAAATATTCTCTGTTAACTACATTTTCTTTCTTTCTACATTCTTGATCATTTCCAGATTGTTCCCATAGATCCATTTTAATCTATCTAATACCAGAGTATCTTTACTGTGTGCAAGAACATTGGCTATGTTATCCAGACTGCAGTAAGCTCTCTCTTCTCTGCCAAAGCCATAAATTACATTAGTGCTTAAAATGAGATTTCACTCTCCCACCATTTGCTACAGCACAAAGATCTCTCTGAATTAAGCAGCTCTTATGCCTGACTCTAGTTGCCTGTCATTCTCCGTAACTGCATATCAAATATGGAGATTTACATCATTATTGAAAAGCATCCTACAAAAACAGTACAATGTGAGAAAAGTGTTTTTTTAAACCTTTTCTCAGTTTCTATGGACACAAAGCTGAATTATGGTCAGAAGTATTTACAAGAAACCCTGAGCTCTTTCTTCAATTCCAGAAAGTATTCCTATTTCAGAGCCTGAAAATATCCATCAGGTGACCAGAGGAATAGAAAAAGAAGATGCAAAGTAGAGAGGGCAGGCTTGTGTATCTGTACATGGCCTCTCAGCCCTAATTCTAGACATCCATATAAAGACAGACTGGTGCAATAATGTGGCTGAACCAAATGGAATTGGGGCTGTACTGAATAGTTCCCAGAAGTTATAACACCTTTCCCAAAGTCCATAATCAATGAAGGTTCATACACTGATTGCATAAAGTTGCAGTGACCACCTGGATGCACCAAGTGACTGGTTTTGTCCTTTACTGGGACTCTTCAGACTTATTTTACAGGGTTCAAACCATCTATCCAGGTCTTGGAGTTCAGTGGTTACAGAAGGGTTATCTAGAAGCTCTATCAGAACAGATGGATATTAGAAGCCCTATCAGATGCATGTTGCCATCATAGATAAATTTTATAGCAAGCCAGGATTTTGGAAGATCAATGAAAACTGACGATAAAGGTCAAGTTTGGGAGGGCGAAAGCAACAGACTAGAAACACTTTTATGTATTCAGAGATTTCCATAATTATGTTTGCTCAAATTCTGAGCTGATTTTACCATATTTACTCAAAAAGAATTTAACATTGAACTTAAGATACTGCCCCCCCCACCCCAGAAAGTTAGGTGGACAAAATACTGCAAGCACACACACACACACACACACAAATCCTGTTCACTGCTTAGTTTCTTAACCTGGTTACTTAAGATTGCCTAATTCTACTGAAGCCAATCCTGGACATTTTCCCCATCTATCTTTCCATATGTGCGTACGTATGTATATGTATGTGCATATATCTATCCCTTGGCTAAAGGCCAGACTCCACAGCCAGGATGAAAAATTAGTATTTACTGAATTAATAACTACTGATCAAAATCAGTTTCACGTAAATGAGAGATCCCACTTGTAGAATTATTTGGTTTTCTCACCTGCACATACACAAACTACTGTGTCTCCTATACTTTGACAGAAGGACATTCACATGCACACATACCGAAAGAGAGACTCTGGATATTCAGACTGAGCAAGCACCATTAATCAATCAATCAATCAATCAATCAATCAATCAAATGGCTCTTGCTCCCTGAGAAGTGAGATACCTCAGTTGCTCTGATGGGCTACACTTCAGGTAAAGTGAGGTGGAAATCAGATAAGAGATCCTTTAGGTACAAGTTATTTTTCCATTCTGCTCGTAAAAAGGAAAGGACTGATAGATTACAAGCACCAGGATATTGCACATGCTTCCTCCATAGTAAGGCCAACTGAGTTTTTGGCTTTTCCTCCCAGGTGAGTACACACACAACTTCTAATCTTGTTAGGCGGCAGGCTCTCCTCCTCTTTCTCTGAATCTGAAGGGCACAGCCGCTTTATCCCTGGAGACTTTCTACCAATTCATCCTGAGCCCCCTTTTGTATGGGACGCTTCCCTGGGCAGAAGAGGATCCCCCCTTCAAACACTACCCCTCCACATCTGGGCAGCACCTCTCCCCCAAGACTTCACCCCTCCCCTGCTGCCCTTTTGGCTACCTAGCATCTTCTGTCCTTTGCTTGCTTTTAGCAGTATCTTTATGACCAGATTCCCAGTAAAAATAATCCCCCCCAATTGACAGGCAGTTATTTGGGGGGGAGATCCTTACCTTTCATTCAGATAAATTATAGTGATTCAACTAAACTACAGAGAACGTGAACCTCTTCTATAAATACAGCAGGGGGGGAACAATAGGAAACCAAGCAGTTGTTAGCAGGATGCAGCTTATCAAGCATTCAGAACTAACATTCAGTAACAGAGCAAATACTATCAGAATTCCTGTATTGATGCTGTCAAGACGGACTAAGAAAAGTCTCAGGGACACTTACTGTTTGGTTATCTTCATACAGCTTCAAGTCATATCCACTCAGCTCCACACAGAAAATTATTGCTGTAACCCCCTCAAAACAATGGATCCATTTTTTGCGTTCAGATCTCTGCCCACCCACGTCCACCATTTTGAAAGTCAGCTCTTTGAAAGTAAATTTGTTTTCCACAATCCCTGTGGTCATGTCCCGAGAGCGCAAAATGTCTTCAACGGTGGGGATGTAATCCAACGCAGCAATCCTTTCTAAGTCATTCAAGTAGTAGGCAGCATTATCCTCTAGGTGGTACTCGTTGGAGCGGCAGAAGCACTCCTGCACTCCAGGGTCAGACCAGAGCCTTTTCATGACCCCAAGCAGCTCCGGCGTGATCTCCCCTTTGCTCTCCGCAGGGCCCGTCAAAGCAAAGAGTTGCACTGCGTCATAGGCTCGGTCAGGGTTATGGAATTCAATCTTAAGGGAAGCCAGGGCACGAATTATGCGGGTGAGAGAGTCAATTGCATTATAAATAATCAAAGGCTTATATTCCTTGCAAGCCTCCAAATTAAAGCCGCCACTGTGGATAATTTTCATTTGTTTGACAATGGTACTTTTGCCAGAATTGCTGGTGCCAAGGAGGAGAAGCTTGATTTCACGCCGCTGTCGCTGACTTTCAGAGCGCAGGTGGCGGTCAATTCTTCGGGACCGCCGCGCTGCCTCTTTCTCCTCCGAACTTTGCCTACATCCCATGGTACAGCAGAGACTAGCAGAAGAGGCCACCTGAGACTCTCTAAGAAGGAGCTCCAGGAATTGGGTCTCAAAGGGACAGCTGGGCGGTGGCTAAGAATGTTCCTCCACCAGCAGTTCCTTCTCTCCCAGAAGGGGTACAAAACTCTAATGCGTCACCCGCAACTACAGACCACCATTACAGCAGATCTCAAGGCACTCTCATTTGGTGAAAATAAATGGTTGCACATTCCCAGTAAGGAAGGGAAACTTCCCTTTCCCACAAAATCGTCAAATCTCTCCTATACCTCCCCTTGTTCTCCTGCATAATTCCGTCATCCTCTTCTGAACACAAGGAATCAACTGCGTGTAGGCTGGATACGCTTCAGTTCGTTATATATCTTCCAGCCACTCTTGCAAGGTGGCTCTCAGGTGCAGACGAAGCCCTGGGCAACCACCGTGCAGCATGGAGTTGGCTTCTCGGGCAGCTCTTCAGGGCTAGGGTCAGGTCTAGGAACCCGAATCAGTAGTCCCCACCTGTGAAAAGAAGGAAAAACGAATCAACTCAACTGCTCTTTTTGCATTTCTGAACACCTTATTCTCCCAGCCCAGCAGCCTGAGTGGGGAAGAGAGAAAGAATCTTGGGGAACACAACTGAGGAGAAGAGGGTTAGTGCTGGAGAGTATGTGCTTAGCCTTGCCGGCCTGATATTTCCATTCTACGGAAAAGCAAATGTGCTATTCATGACCTTCTTCCCTCCTGACCAACTTTGTTCCAAGAGGAAAGCAGAAGGGAGAAGAGGAGGAAGGTGAACTGCTCTGTCTGGTGTTGGAACGTTTCTGTGCAGGCTTGCAAGAGCATCTACCCATTCTTAATATTTTGGCACTTCTGCATTTTTGGCATTTATGAATCACAGATTGACATTTATGAATCAATGATTTACAGCATCAGGCTCTGCAACAAGCTGGCTGAAGGACAAACCCCTCACTGTATCAGGCACTGATACTTTCATTATGTAAAAACTAGACAACGACAGTGCAAACCAGCAGTCTCTGCAACAGCGGGACAAATGTGAAGAGCGGGAGGAAGAGCAGGAGATAGTAATTTTTAAAGAGAAAGATCTTACAGCTTTGTGAAAGTTCTGGTTTTAAATAACACAAATACTGCTAACTGCAGAAACCACTGATTTTTTTCTTGTTTCCATTCGGAACAGCCCTCCCAATCTGGTTGCCCTACAAGATGGCAGTAAGTTAGGGCTGGATACTCCAGACCGTCTCTTGGGGTGTGCAGCTCTGCCTTCTCCCTCTCCCTTCCCTTTCTTGGTTCAACATACTACCTGCATTCCTCCACCCATAAGTGCTTCCAGGCAAGGCTTTTACTGTGCAACCTCCCTGGCTCATAACAGCCTTCCACTTACCCCACACACAGATACATTCCTCCACACAGCACACTTCCTTCTTTTTACTTCCCATACCTACGTACATTCACATACAAGAAGACAGAACAGCTCTCTACCACCTGGAAGGAGCCCCTCATTTTCAGCTGTAGCAAGGTCAAAGCAGGACTGGTAACATTTACTGACCTTCACCCCATCTTTCCTCCTCCACCCCATTCCATTCTTTGGGACTGTCCCTTGGCTTCTACCACAAAGATTCAGAGAACTGCCATTCCCATCATTACAGAAGGTGATTCGCTGAAGGAGACTAGACATCAAGTCCCACAATATTATGGAGACACGGGCTGGTGCCACTCCCCCCTCCTTTATGGAGGGGCCCTACATCTGCATGGTAACCAGCTTCACAAAAAATGAGTCACTTCAGATTCAATGGAATATAAGTGAGGAATAATAAATAATCAAGGTTGAATCAATGGGTGGGTCCATGTATCACACTGACTATGGTCATTGGTTGGGATTTAGCAAGATTGTAGAATTATAGAATGTAAAGATTATAACTTGAAGATCATCAAGTCCAACCAGCATAGGAATCCATTCATACAGTGGGCCACCAGCTTCTGTTTAAACACCTCCAGGAAAGGAGCATCCATCACCTCCCAAGGCAATCTGTTCCACAGTTTAATCGCTCAGTTAGGATTTTTTTTCCTAAACTCAAACCAAAATCTACTTCCTTGTAATTTAAATCCATTGTACTACCTTCTGGAAGAACTCTGAACAATTCTGCTCCATCTTCTACTCAATGCTGCTATTGGTGTTCTCTAAATTACACATACAGAATTCCTCCCACTGTTCCTCATCATTTTTTTTTCCTTCCCAGCCCCTTACCATCTTGGTGGTCTCCTCTGGATATCCTCCAGTTTGGAGAGTGTTCTTCCTAAAATGCACTGCCTAGAACCAGACACAGCATACTAAGTACAGTCTGACCAATGCAGAATAGAGAACTAGGACTTCCCTTGATCTTGACACTAAGGTTCTGCTGATGGAGCCAGGACTACATTTGTTTTCCTTGAGGCTGTATCACCCTGTTGATTCAGCCTCTATCGCTGCCTGAAATGGTTTCTCTCAGCCTATATTCATGTCTGTGATTATTCCTAGCCACCTGAAGGACTTTCCATCTGTCTCTGTTGAATTTATCTTGCCAATTTCTGCCCATTGTTTGGGCTTCTCCAGATTCTCCTGAATCTTTATACTGTCCTATAAAGCGTTTGCTATCTCCATCTTTATGTCAGCACCAATTTTTACAATATTTTCTGAGTGTGACCCCTGCCGATTTATTTATTTATTTATTATTAACTTTATATGCCACCCAGCTCCCCCAGAGGGTGACTCTGGGCGGCTTACAATAAAAATTCAAGGCAATAAAAACAATAAAAATATAAATATCCACAATTAGAACAAGTAACAATTCTATATAAAAAGCCAATATACAATTCAAGATGATGGGGGGAGCAGCATTGATCATCCCACCAACCAACTCCAGCAATGCAAGCCCTCAGGCCATCTGGCATAGCCAAGATTTCACACTCTTCAGGAAGGCCAGGAGAGTGGGGGCAGCCCACACCTCGGATGGCAAGCTATTCCACAGGGCAGGGGCCACGGCAGAAGACCCTGTCAGCTGGAATTTCTTGACTGGCGGGGTCCGCAACATGCCCCTTCCTGCTGGGCCAGGTGAGACGGGATGATATAACGAGGGCGAGATGGCTCCTCAGATAACCTGGTCCTGTGCCATGAAGGGCTTTAAAGATGATAACCAACACCTTGAATTGGACCCAGAAGCAAACCAGCAACCAATGCAGTTTGTGTAACAGAGGTGTTATATGTGCCCCCCAGGGCATTCAAAACTGTCCACACTGCTGCATTTTGTGCCAGCTGTAGCTTCCGGATACTCTTCAAGGGTAGCCCCATGTAGAGTGCATTGCCCTAATCCAAACAGGAGGTGACCAGAGCATGAGTGACTACATGGAAGACCTCCTGATCCTGGAAAGGGCATAACTGATGCACAACACGAAGCTGTGTGAAGGCCCTCCTAGCCATGACTGCCATCTGCTCTTCGAACAGGAGTCGTGAGTCTAGGAGGACCCCCAGATTATGCACTGGGTATGTCTGAGGTAGTGCAACCCCACCCAGAACCAGAGATGATAAGCTCCTAGATCTTGAGGCTCCTCCTACACACAGCCACTCCATCTTACCAGACTAGTCCCTGCAGTTTTCTTGGCAAGGTTTTTTGGAAGTGGTTTGCCACTTCCTTCTTCCTAAGGATACGAGAGAGTGACTGGCCCAAGGTCACCCAGCTGGCTTTGTGTCTAAAGCGGGTCTAGAACTCACATTCCCCTGGTTTCTAGCCTGGTGCTTTAACTACTAGACCAAACTGACTCTCAATCCCTCACTAGTCATTTATAAATATGTTTAATGGCACAGAACCCCGAAGGGAGCCTTGTTACATACCGCACCGCACTTCCCTCCAGCATGACAAATAGCCCTTGACCTACTCAAGCTGGGTGGAATTGTTTAACCAGCTCTGTGTCCGTCTAATGGTGGCACAGTCTAGTCCATGTTTTGTCTTTTTTTCTACCAGAATCCCTCAGGAGAATTTGTCCCATGCTTTGTTCATGGTTAATTCCCATGGTTAACTACATTGGTTATTCCATCAAAAAAAGATATCAGTTTGGTTGGCAAAGTAGACACTCAATAATCCCCTCCAGAGTTTTTTCTGGCATTGATGCCAAACTGACATTGATTTGTAGTTACCCAGGTCCTCTTTTCCCACCTTTCTGAAGATAGGAACAACAGTTGCCCTTTCCCAATCATCTGGTATTGCACCCATTCTCCATGATGGGTGAACCCCACCATTATATGTTGTAAATCCTGGGTTGTCGTTGAGGGTGAAGTACGAATAAGGCCATTTAACAAACCCTGATTAAAATCAGGGGTGTTCAAAATGGGGTTCCCTGCAGCTCCTGAAATCTTGGGGTGTGGTCTCAATACCCCTTTGTGCCACCAGAATATATAGGAATAAATTTATGATTAGATTTAATTCATATAAACCACGTTTTGTTCTGCCCCTGAGGGTGGGGTGGGGTGGGGTGGGGTGGGAAGGGACGGAGGGCAGCAAAGCTGAGCAGCAGTGAGACATGAAGGCCCAACGAGTCAGAATCTCTCACTTTCTCTCAGGCAAGAAGGTTAAAACCTGACAAGCAAGTACCCTTCCAAAGCCACCCAAGGAATTTGTCCCCCCCACCCCTTCACTGCTTTGCTATTTGACTGCCAAGAATATCAGAGAATCCCACTCCCACCACAACTCACAGGAAAAGGCCTCTTTCCATCAGGGAAATGATGCCCCTTTTGAGCGTGCTGGGGAGACCCATTCAGTTCAGTGGGACTCTCTTCGCAGTGTGTGGAGTGCCCCCCCGTGGACCCTCACCTCTCCTGGAGCCCCATTTCCAGAGTGCTGCACCCCTTGGAGGAATGTGCCATTGCTCCAGCACAATGGTGCTATTTCAGACTCAGGGGAGGAAGCTCACTTGTAAGAGCAGCAGCCGTTGTACTTCAAATGCACGGAAGCCCTTTCAAATCCTCTGAAAGATGAACCACCCTCTTGAGGCAGAAAGAGAGGAAGGAAAAGACTTCCTTAACCTAGACACCCTTTGGACAACTTCCCAATATTGAAAACCAAGGATAAAAGGTACTGCTTTATTTATATTAATTTAAAGATTTTTGCTAAAGCCTATGGTTGTAAATAAAAATAAATTTAAAAAAATTAACTTAAAAGAAAAACAAACACATGGGAGATAATTCTCTTTTTAAATGTTGTTTGCTTATTTATTTATTGAATTTATATCCTGCTGCAAAGCTCGCAGTGGTTTACAAGAAATGCCAAAAATTAAAATATCCTTGGTGTGATTAAAGCAGCAAAAATCAGCTAAATCCTAAAAATAACAACCAATATATAGCAAAACAAGAAAAAATTTAAAAAATAGAAAGCAAAATAAGCTTTGGCACAATAGGCAAACATCACCAGAATGCTCAGTTTTTAATGACCTTCTGGAAACCTTTTAGAAGGGGGCTAGCCAAGTGGG